GACGATATTTAGTGAGCTCAGTCTGCAGTATTCTGCACAAAATTACGTTAAAATGTAAATTTACTAAATTCCTACCTAAACAATTCTAGCGGGTAAACAAAATAAGTGAGTTTGCCTCTTAGGCCACTTACCTGCAATTTGTAATTAAATTTCCAATAAAATCAATTTTAAACAGGGCGAAGTGAAGGAAAAAAATCATAATTTTGCGGTAATAAATTACGAGCAAAATCTCTCGGCCGAAAGTTTAATTCGCGTTGTAAATCGTAGTAAACACTGTAAACTGCACAATATTAATAACTTATACATACAATACATTATGTTCATGGCAAGATTTACTTTACAATATGACTCTAAACTAGAATAGTGTCCTATTAAATTAAAATAAAGCACATACTGCAGAGTTTTATGAAATTCAGTTTTATTAGGAGGCGTTTCAAAAATTTCACATTAAATTTTTTGTCGGGTTTATTAATAATAATGTTAAACATTTTCGAACTAATAGCCCAGTCAAATAAGGTAGTTTCACCTACTTATTGTTTATTTGCTTTTGTATATTGGGGAAAAGGATTATAAGGTACCAAAACTAAATATCTCATAAACATAAACATATATATGTTTATATACATTCTTTTTTAAGTACCTAGGTTATCTTTTTAAATATATATAAAATTATAATGTCTTTTTGTAATTTTTGCAAAATTATCCAAAATCTTATCAATATTTATTTTTATATCGGGAATTTTCGTGTTTTGAAACAAATATTTATTTATTCGTCTACATTAATGTTGTCCCCATTGGATATTATGCACATGTGCCAGCTCTTCTTCCAATACTCGAAACACTTGTAAAACTCGATCTTTGGGATATCCTTTAGTTCTTTCAGCGATGCGCTTTTAGTGTCATCTATGCTTGCAAAACGACGGCCCTTTAAGGTTCTCTTTATTTTTGGGACTAGGAAAAAGTCAGACAGATGCATGTCTGGCGAATATGAAGGCTGGGGCATCATTACAGTATTGTTTTTGGCCGAAAATTTTGTTCAAAATTTAACAATTTTGGAACAAATTTTGCTGTCACGCGTTTCATACCCAAAACATTTGAAAAAATTTCATGGGATGAGCCAATCGATATACCAACATCAACAGCGACTTCTCTGATGATTTATAATCATTTCTTCCACTTTTTCCATGTTTTTATCGGTTGTTAATGTGCTTGTGCGTTCGGGGCGTTTGTCATCTTCAACGTCTTCATGGCCATCTTGGAAACTCTTATACCACTTGTAAACTCTTGTTTTACTTATAGCAGACTCACTATAGGCCTTTGTTAACATTTCACAGAATTTATTTAATTTTTTAAGCAAAATTGGATACAAATTCTTTGATCCATTTCTTTTATCGAACGAAAATCGCCGAGCCCATAAAACACATCTAACCTTAGCGGCTGCCACAGACCAAGTAACCAATAAAAACAGCTAAAGTTTTTATAATACTTCGGCGAATGTAAACCATCATAATAAATAAAATTTTATGACAACCGGACCCTCCGAAGCCGCGAAATTTAACAATTCCAGTTATTTTCTGAACACACCTCGTACATGAAACAATGCTAATCCTACTAGTCTTTCTTCACCTGTAGAAGCCCGAAACCAAATATTTTTTTTTTTTATTATGCCACACTTTAAAAACTATTCATAGAGGGCGAGTTGCATACATAAATTATATTTGTGGTAATTTTTTTTCTTCTATCTTGGGGGGGGGCGTAATTACCCCCCATTACCCCCTCCCCTTATCGACGCCCTTGTTAGGGATAATGTCTCAGTCCCATCGAAATCGTCCTACGTATCAAATGGTTACGAGAAAATATCTTTCGATTATCTCGTATATTGGTTATTATAAAGTTTCTTATGTAAATCTGGTAAATTTGGATATTATAAAAAAGATCCTATACATAGTTTATGTAAAACCAATAGTTTTCGAAATATGAGGCTGAGAAAAGTTGAAGCTTACATAATATGTATTCAAGAATTATCATGTTTAACTAAACCCAAAAAAAAGTCTGAAAGATTCGAGTTAAGACTCCTGGAACGCCATAGAGGGTATCTAGGTTAAATATTGCTGTTTTAACAAATTTAAGGTTAACTTTTAAAAAGTGTTTGCAACGCGATGGTTTACATCAGGATACAGGGCCGGAATTAGAATCTGTGGGCCCCTAGGCTGTGGAAGATATTTATGTCATGTAGGTCAAACTATAAATGATAAAAACGATCATGCGGGACCTTACGTGCGGGCCCATAGGCTGCAGCCTAGGTAGCATATGCTTAAATCCGGCCCTGTCTGAATAATGTTATTTGTATGAAAAGATTTTTCCAAATGTTTATTTTATTATAATTTTAAAAAAATCGATAAGATTTATAGCTTTGTTATTATTTGTTCAAAACCATTTAAAAACATTATTCCTATTTACCTATATTGTAAATATGGATAGCGTTTATCGAAAAGGAACCAAGCGCCAAAAACTTTTTCTGGGGTAAACAAAATTATTTGCATTTTTATTGCTGTTCAAAAAATTAATAATGATTTGGAAACCTTCTCAATCATTTTGAGAAAAGTTCCAAATTGAGCATTATTAAATATGAGTTATTTTACAAATAATTTTACCAAGCCCAGAAAAAGTTTTTGGCGCTTGGTCCCTTTTTGATAAGCTTTAATCATATAATGTTTTTGAATGTTTTTTTATAGAATAATATTATTAACTGTACACGAAGAAATTATATTTTTACATTTAGTACTTAGTGCTTTAACTTTGAAAAAAGTTAATTAAAACTTTAGCACTGATTACTTTATTTGTCAAACCATAACATTGTGAAATATTATACGGGCTGTATAATAACCATTATTAAACATTTGGTCAACTATTAATAATCTGTTGGGTATTGATTGTTAAAAGTAATAAATCCTAAATATATAGGATTATTATTTTATTTTATAGTAAAATGTAACAAGTTACAAATGTTTTACTGTTTTAATAATTATAATTAAATTATTTAGAATACAGATTTATTATTAGAATGATTACCAAACAGTATTAGATGTAACTTCCCAATATTATTTTCGAATGCATTTGGATATGCATTTAATCTTTCTGTAATCTTATGTCATTTATGCTTTATACCATTCGTGCAGTATTTCCTATCTTATCTTGTGTTGGTTATCGTTTGATCTTGTTGAATTAATTAATTATTAATTAATAATTCTTTATATTTATTAGTAAGTTTAAAATATTTATTAATTATTTCTACCAAACTTTGCATGCACGTTATTATAATGAAGACTAAAACAACGACTAGCTAAAATAAGACCAACTAAAATAACTAGAAGCTGAAATGACCACAACCTAAAACAACGCAAGCTAATATTATAAGAAACTTAATAAAATAGCGAAAATGGGGACAATCTTTTTTTTCAAGAAGTTCTAGAAGCCAACTAAATAGCTTGTGCGAGTAATGTGTAGAAATGGACCACAAGAAAAGATAAATAAATCAAAAGATAAAATTACGAAAAACTTAAATACCACAAATATTTATCATTATCTTACAATTATTTAAATTAAATATTTGTATATAGCGACATCTATACAAAAATACAAACTTCGCGTGAGAATGGGAATCTGTATTACCGACTGCAAATGTCAATGTTTTCTGTGTAAATCGAAATGTATTCCTTGAAAATGGACTAACAACTGTTTAAATCCGATATAGAAGCAGATTTTAACGGTAAAAGTGAAGAGAATGTTTTATGCGCACTACACGGTCGTGTCTCAATTTGTAATGCTGCGGGCGAAATCAAAAGGTACAAACGTGCATAAAAACTTTTTAAATATTGGTTTTGAGAAACTATTTCATACTTTTGTATTTTTGTATTAATAATACAATAATTTTCGCATTTAGAATTATTTCTCAAAAGGACACTTTATTTTAACGATTGTTGAACATTTGAAAACTGTCAATTAACATAAAGCAAACTTCAGCACGTGACTAAAGCGCTATAAAGTCATAGCTTGTCAATATGTATTTTAAAGATCACTTAGTGTCATGGAAACAAGTACGATAATGGGCGTATTAAAGGTGGGAGTAGAAAAACAATTTATAAATAACATCAGTTAATTAATTATTTTTTTATAATTTTGCCGGTGCATTTTTGTCATAGTTTAATTTTTTCTTTATTATTTAATGTCACATTATAATAATTTTTTTATAAAATCACTATGTAAACAGATGTATCAAATTTTATATTTAAAGTAATTTTAAAAAAGTCATCAAAATATAATATTTTTTATTGCATTGTATATCAATAAGGAATGTTAAAAAGTATAAATTTATCATACTGTACATATTTTATATATTTTGCGTTCATAATGACTTCATTATAACACCGCTTTCGGTGTAATGAGATGGGACTTTATCCCACCCAAAATTTTGATTTTATAGGTTGGCTTTACTTTAAACAGCATAATGTTTTGTATATTGGTTATAATATTTTTATGAATTTTCTAGTAAGTACTTACGAGACTTTTTGGCAATAAATTTTGTTTAACACCAAAGAAAATCCTTTTTTTCTTCTTTAACATTAACAGCCGCTTATTTTAAATAAGTAAATTAAGGACGGCATGGAGAATCTATTTTGACATTAACTGTCAAACCAATGACTGTGATACCACCTATCTAAAGTAAAATTGGACCAAATTAAATTTAAGGCATAAAATAATTTTTTATAGAATTTTTGCAAAATAGATAAAATAGCATAAAGAACTCTCCTTTGTCGCTCGTTTTATAAATTGTCCGCGTGCGACAAAATGACGTCTTATGACATTAGTTCTTTAATATACTATTTTTAATTGTGAAAAATTAAAAAACATCAAAAATGTATTTTTGGTTTTCCCCCCGTATAAAAAAATATTTTTCCTGCATTTATAAAAACAATTTTCTCATGCCCTTGTATACATTCATTGAATAAACTAATTGCCCTGTGCATCATTATTTTAATGTATTTGCACTTTACTCGAACGTTGCATCGCGAATAATAATAAATTTAAATCGCTCACAACCGAAAATCGGTAAGCAATTTGCATTTAAAATGCGATAATATTTTAATATTTCGAGTAATACGTAAATTTTTGCATTCAACGAAATGCTCAACCTATGTACACTCGTTTTTTGCGCAGCGATTTTTGTAAACATTTCCCATGTTTACGGTAAGTAGAAAATTAAAAATATGTATGAAAATTGTTTTTCTTTTTCTTTTTTTCTTTTGTTATTAGCTGGTGAATGCGAAATTTTCAATCGACGTACTGAATGCTGCACAAAAGGTTTAAAAAGAAACAGTAAGTGGATATATTTTCATAAAAAGTCGTCTATTTTTCATAAAAATAATTGCTATACAGTGTGTCCCAACATTGAGGGGGTAAAGGTAAAATTCTCTTAAAATTCCTTTATTATATTTTTAAATTCGCAAAAGTATTTTATTAATGTTTATTTAATGTAATTTTGAAGAAAGCAAATTACTTATAGGTTATTTTATTTAAAAGATTTTTTTTCTACTTTAAAACGCTATGTTTCCATGACTCTAAGTGACACACGGGCTAAAGTTAGTTTTAAGTTAGTTGACAGTTGTCAAATGTTATACAATCGTTAAAATTTTTAATATGTATCTCAATATAAGAATACAAATGTATTAAATTGTTTCTCAACACCAATATTTGAAAAGTTTATGCCAGTCAGTACTACTGATTTTGTAATTTCGCCGACAGTAAACTAGATTAAACCTTATTTCCGGTTTATTTACTTTTACTGTAAAAAACTGCTTTTATATCGGATTAAACGGTTTATTTTTAAGGGATAAATTTTAATTTACACATAAACAAATTCCCAAGTTGTTTACTTAATTGTTTTATAGATGTCGCTCTATACAAATATTTAATTTAAGTCATTTTTAGATAATAATAAGTATTTGTCTTAAAAAAAGTATAGTTTGCAACTCGTTTATAAACATTTCTAGACACTCATTTAATTAAGCACTTGCACGCAAGCTCGCTCGTGACTAAATTAAATTCGTGTCTAAAATGGCATTTATTAAACTTAATATACATAATTTACTATTTAGCGGTAAATATAACGTAAATATTTTTACTCTAAACTAAATTTGACTCATGCGTCATCTTTTAACTATATTAAAAACACATTATATCCGTAAATAATTCCTAGTTGTCTGGAAACTTGTATAGTAAAATATCGTATTAAACGATTTCCCATACTTGGTAATTTTTCGTTTTTTACTGTTATTTAACAGTTTTTGTTTAGTGTTAAAATTTCATAAGGAAAAATGTAGTTATTTTTACTTAAAATGCTTCTTAGGGCATCTCATTGGCGGCCTTGAAAATTGAAAAAAAAATTATAAATAAAAATTCTTCTTAAATTTTCAGAGGAATTCCCACCAATTTTTGGACACCCTGTACATAAACCGTATTAAAATCAGGGTTATTAAATTGTTTTATTTAACTTTATCATCAGACATCATTAATATTAATATTTAATTATTTTAAGGCATAAAAACATGTTTATCATTTTATCAATTAAATATTTTTTTAGTTTGCGTCAATTTTACTATAACCGATATAGAAAAACATGAGTTAAAGGCAGTATTAGAATTTGACAACAAAACCATATCAAACAAAATAACAAGTAAGTAAACAAACAAATATTTTTAACACAAAATATCACAAAAAGTGTACTTAAGATTAACAATGCCATTTATCTGCAAACACTGAATATTTTAAATTCAAAATTAGTTTATTTTGGCATTTTATTTTTTCAGAATCATATTCTTTTAATATGTGCATACCCAGGACAAAAATCTGCTTGAAGTACAACGAAATCGAGAAAAATACAACGTTTTGGTGTATGATGGTTTACAATAAATATAACGAATACGAAGTCTACTACCACCTACCATGTCTAAAAGAAAATGGTGAGGAATTCTATCAAAAACCGAATTTTTACATACACAACAATTTTCTGTGGGATATTATTGCACCGGAAATGTTCGATGAAAAAGGCAACGTAAAAAATGATACCATTTTGAAAGATAGTGTTAGTTTTTTTGAAGGCTCTGCTACTGATGTTCAAAATCCAACTTTAACTACAATATTGTATACCACCACAGATATAAATTTAAATAATAATATTGATGACTCCACTGCCCTAGGTCTTAATGGTAACGCTTCTACTTTCAACAAGTTTTTCACAAATTTTTTACTTTTTTCTATAACCTTTTTACTTATCTTATAGAAGACATTTTTGAATAAAATGATTGGAAATAGTTGACGTTTTTCTGTGTTAAAATATTACCGTAAATCTTTTACTGTGTTTTTGTGACCCATCAAGATATACTTTAATAATAAACTAATAAGGTTTTAGTGGGCAAGCATAGAGTGTTTTATGAGGCTATTTGCGTCTTTATCCTCCATGTGGAGGGATTTTTAAGCAAAGTAAGCGCACCGTAACAAAAGTAAATGTATAGTTTACCTGCTCTATAAAAATGAATTATTCAAAAATGACTAATTTAATAGTTATTAGTGGCTGCTTTTTCACTTGTACCATGGTTAACCATGAGATACCATGGTATCCCAAAATTTAAAAGCTAATTCTTATCTAAAATTTTCCCCTGAATCCGAAAATGTTGTCAAGTTAAAAAAGTAGAACAGTTTTTGAGATATAGTCAATTTTCCATTTAATATGGAATTGACTATATCTCAAAAACTGTTCCACAATCATAATTTTTAACGGTATTTTCGGATTCAGGGGACAATATTACATAAGAATTGGCTGTTAAATTTTGGGATACCATGGTTAACCATGGTACAATAACTATTAAATTAGTCATTTTTGACTAAATCATTTTTAGGGAGCAGGTAAACTATACATTTATAGAGTGCAATTTAATTTTCAATTTTTGGAGCATTAAATTAGGAAACCCTCTGTATTAATTTAAAAAAAAATCAATTGGACTGGACCTGTTCCAAATAAAAAAAAATGAGGTTGATTTGTTATTTTATTATATTAAAAGAAATAAAAAGGATGTTGGCACAAGAGGTACAATATATTATTTTACAAATAATAATATACCAGTCACCGGATCAGATTGACAAAAAAAAACTTTTTTAGAACTGATACAGCTAAACCGAGCACGAATTTTGAATCGACCAAAAATATGTTTAGCTACTCTCTTAAAATTAATTAGTCAAAAAAAACTAATTATAAGTCATATTTGACTAATTGTCATAGCTAAAAAGCAGTCACTAATAATTAGTCAAATTCTGAATGAAATAGTCAAATTAGTAGTTAAATTTAAAAAAAGTTTTGACCCAGCCGGGGATTGAACTCAGGTCTGTTACTTGTCAAGCTTGTGAAGCTGTTGTCATAACCCATTTGGCTAACAGCCGCTCTTATAAAAATTAATTTTATTTGTCAATAAATATTGTTCATACTATTTTAAAGTTAAATAAATTATTTGTGTTGCTGTTTTGAGTTAAACTTTTTGCATCTTTATTTGTTTTATGGGTCATTTAACCATGGAACCTAGGTATATGCATTTAATTCAAATAATACTTTGTTGTTGGCCGCAAACGATTAAAGAAATTAGTTACTTTTAACTCAGAAATAGTCAAGGATGCTGACTAATCTTTAATTAGTCAAACTTTAACTATTTATGTAGTAAAAACTAACTATTTAAAAGTGAAAACGACTATTTTATTAGTAAAAAATGCTGGTAATAATTCAAATATTAGAATTTTGACTACCTATTTCATTTTTAGAGAGTACAGTGAAATTAGCTTGTTTATAAAATTAGATATAATTAAGAGCTGCGTCCAAAGCCGATATAGCAGAAACACTGCGCTTTTATTGGCAGCCTTAAAAATTAAATTACTCCTACAATTTTGCTCATTAGAAAAATGGTAAGAAAAAATTCATCTCGGAATTTTAACTCTTTGGGTTGCCAAATTTGAGACACCCTGTACATTTATTTGTTAAATTGTTTGCCTTTCAGGAAGCAACGGAGCAATGGATCGACTTTTTGTAAATTTGACTTTTTGTTTCACTTTTTTTGGCTTTTTTTACATTCCCATACTGGTATTAAGCAAACAAACTAAAATGACGACAAGCTATAACTTTATAAAACAACAAAAAGTCAAAATAATCAATATTACGTTTACCTGCCAAACAAAATTTTGTTATCCGGTTTTTCCAGATTTTTTTCAACTGTGTAAGCTATATGGAAGTGTTCCAAGGCCTCCGCAGGACCACAGCAGCATCGCGTAGGGTAACGATGCGGCAGTAATACTTTGGAGCTCTATAGGGATATTTATTTTTATGCATCATTTAACGCCGCACTGCATTTACACGCCCCTGCCTTTTCTCTCACGGCTTTCGTCGGTATTTTTTATAGACCTTATATGTGCTTGTGCACCCTGATTTCACCTGCTTTAACACGCACATAGAGAGATATTGCGATATTTTATTCATGGCGAAGATATGTAAAACGTTTGAAAGTTAAATTTGCTTAAAATGTATGTACGCCGCTGACATCTTTACTTTTGAATAACATTATTTTGTTGTTGTACATTGAGTATCATATTTTTCGTTTTTGATTTGGTAACTTCAGACCCAAAGTCACAGCTTGTCAATATGTATTTAAAAGATCACTTGGTGTCATGAAAACATGTACGGTAATGGGCGTTTTAAGGGTGGGAGTAGAAAAAAATATTTAAATTAAGATTAATTTGTCATTATTTAAGCATGTTTTCATTTTAACTTGTTGACATTAAATGTTAATTAAGCTTTGTTGTATTTTAATTTGTTAGTAATTTATACCCATTTATTTTAATTTTTTTATTTTAATGGAATACTAAAATTAAAATATTAAAAATAAATAATAGTTATTTATGTCATAGGATTGTTCTCAGTCGCAAGGCATAATTTTATTTTTCGTACATGTTTCCATGACACTAAGTAACCTTTTAAATACACATTGACAAGTTGTGGCTTTATGGCGCTTTAGTCACGGGCCGAAGTTAGCAACAGGCTTTTAGTCACGGGCTGAAGTTAGTTTTAAGTTAGTTGACAGTTGTCAAATGTCATAAAATCGTTAAAATAATACTAAATGTGAAAATTATTTTATTATCTCAATACAAAAATACAAAAGTATTAAATAGTTTCTCAATGCCAATATTTGAAAAGTTTATAGTTTACAGTTTACATTGTACTGACCTTTTAATTTCGCCGGCAGTAAACTATAACTTAAATTCGGGTACGGACTCCACTGTAAAGTGCTCATAAAACATTTAAACTTTCACTGTAAAAAACTGTCCATTTTCAAGAAATACATTTCGATTTATAACCTTTATAATCTGTGTTTATAACATATAAAAATTTGACATTTGACGGTGACACACAGATTCCCCTATTGTTTGATAGATGGCGCTTTATACAAATATTTGATTTAAATCATTTTAAGATAATAATAAGTATTTGTCGTAGAAAAAGTATAGTATGCACCTCGTTTATAAACTTTTCTATACACTCATTAATTTAAGAATTAAATTCGTATATAAAATGGCGTTTATCAAACTTGATACATAATATACTAATAAACAGCAAATATTTAACAGGAAATTAATTTTGTTGAAAACATGTTATGGTCTACAAAATATATTCTTTGGATTTCAAGTATAGCAAATTTTATTATTTGCTAAAATGGTGTTTTTTTAGTTAAAAATTGGGTTAACACAATTTGATGCTTCGATTTTTTGTAAAAAATCGTGAATTTTGCTGATCTAAAATATTCGTAAAGATATTTTTGCATCAAATTTCAACTGTAAAATTTTTTTTTCTGGTAAAAAAGTATGCACTCTAAAAGTAGATTTTAAACAGTAAGAAAAAAACCGTTACAGCAGAAATGGTCTAAATTTGGTTTAAACGCTATTAAATATTTAAGGGTGATGGAGAACCTTTCCGGGTGCCACTGGCCTTCCGTTGTCATGAATTTAATCGAGTGCGAAATATTTCGATTCGGTTATTAAGTCGAATTCAACCGTAGAGAATTTTATTATTAATTTGTTGCAGCATCAGACAAAACCCTTTTAATTAATCATTTTGTTTTGAAATGGGTGAATACTTTCGGGAATTATATTTAATGGAAAGCTTTTCGGTCGGGGCGAAAATTAAACAAAATACAAACTTTGCAATATCCGCACGAAATGTTAATACGCGAATATTAATAAATGCGTACTTGTTACTTTGATACAATACCCAACATTTAATACCAGGGTGGGTCAATAACTCCATAGCAAACAATTTTTATTTTTCAAGATAATATCTTATGACCTCCCCTTTAGACGTATTTTTTTTCTGGCGACCCACTTCTTATTTTTTTTTTCAGGATAAAATTACTTAATTTATTTTGATGTTTTGGCTTTAAAATAAAGGTGCTTTTTTACTCACACATTTATACTATCTACTTCTATTTGAATTAGTAACAGCATTTTTTACTATTATTATTACTATTATTAAATGTTGATTGTCTGAGAGTAAAAAGTAAACAATTTCTTTGGTCGTCTTTTTTTCTTCAGCACTGTTAAAATAATGTAAAAAATGTAAAATAATTAAGACCAATCGGGTAAAGTTTTTAACCTCATAGCATTGAGTACTTCCTTACTCAATGCTCATAGGCTGTAAGAAAACTTGTTTGGACCAATAAAAAAAATCGACTTCTGTCGGATCTACCTTACCTTACTTTTTACTTTTAATAATTATAATTATTATTAAATTTCTACTTTTTATGGATCATTTAACAATAGTTATTTATGTCATTAGGTTAAGAAGTAAGGCTTTTTGTGCTAAGCTACAATTGAGCGAAGCACAAAAAGGCACTTCTTGGCCAAATGGCATACTACATTTTATCTTCAAAGCACTTTATATAGGTCAATTTAATTCAATATCAAAGCGGCCTAACCTCACTTTTTTAGAATCTCATTTATTTATTAGATAAAGATTACATTAAATGTACAATAATTATAATTGCTTTTAGAAGCAGTAATAGTTTGACAATAGCTAGCAACATGATTTAAGTAGAAATGGATTTTTGCTATTACATTGAATTCAATTAATTGTTTAATAAATAGGTAGGTATCTAATTTCAATTTTTTGGATTTTTATTTAAAAAATAGGTAGTTTGGAATGTTTAAGCTGTGTTTAACATTTAATTTTACTGAAAACTTAAAGCAAATTAAAACTTAAAGATAATTTAAATCGTAGAAAA